TTTATGAAGAGCAAAGTGTGACTGTATTTGTTCTTATTTGTGATTCATTTTGAACAGAAATACATTTTGTTTGCTTGAGCTTTTAGATGGAAAAGTTTATTAAATTTGACTAAATTTGGTTCCTCTTGAAATGGTTTTCGTTTTGAATTTTTTCTGTTACCAAATTGATTTTCTATAATAATTCTTCACCCTCTTTCCTGTTCCACATTAACAACCAAATTGAACACTTTGTTTTGGGCTCCAATTCGAATCGTGGCAGCCCTTTAGGTCGATAAATCAGGCAGTGAAGTATTTCATTGTTATCGCGGTGATGCGCCAACCCATCCTGAAATCCGAATGGTTTCCGCTCAAACTTCCTTTCACCTTTCGGATTCAATTAACTGCAGCGCCAAATGGCCCAGAGACAATCTAACCAAAAAAAAATTCGTTAAGCAAATTGAAAAGCGTGGGAGATGTTGTTACTCTGATCCCCGCTTCCTTCCCATCGCCGCTTATCCCCCCCACCACCACCACTGCGACAGCAAATATTTGCCATCAACATTTTTGCACGCTAATTTCCTCGGCAAATTTTGGGTATCTGACATCACGCGCTCAACGCATAAAGAGTGGGGGAGAAGGAAGCAAATAAAAGGGGGAGTGGGTGAAAGAGGGAGAGCAAAGATAGATATTTTAAAATGTAATAAAAATTAGAAAGGACTGAGAGATACAGGGATCGAAACGTGAAATACCCTTACAGATGAATCATTGGGATTTCGTTTTTTTAACAGAATGGGATAGGATACCGGATATAAATGTGGAATAAGTAGAGTAGTCCCCTTGCTAACATCTTGTGGAAATAACAATACCCTCTAAAAGCAAGTGTATCCAAAAAAGAGACCATAAAACTGTTGCAGTTCAGTAGACACAGTGGGTGGGGGGAAAAGAAAAAAGAGGAGCTCTGAAATTTCGTCACATATTTTTGCGTAAATTGCCGGAAAATCGCAAATCATTCAAGATAAACATCCAGAAGTCAAGAAATGAACAGAAGCCAAGAGGAGAGTGTGGAGTAGGGCTAGAGATGCAGGGTAAGGGAAAGGGAGTGCAAAAGATGGGCTAACAGAAGAAGACAGCCCAGTCAGACTGAGAGAGAGAGAAGCCAACCGCGGAAGCAAATATCGAACAATGTTAAGCAAACACTCACTCAAACAGACAGACAGACACACACACACATTCACAGAAATTCGGCAAAGTGTCAGTGTGTGTGTGGGCAAAGCCGAAAGGCAGGCAAAAGAAAAAAGCCGAGCAGGCTTTCTAGCAGGCAGCGGCTGTGGGGGAGGCAGATCAAACAGACAAAACGTCTGGCGGCGACAGAGCGGCGTAGGCAGAGGCGGCTCGGCTCAGTACTGCGGTCGCTGCCTGTCGACGCCGCCGTCGATGCCAATAAAAACGGGATCAGAGTGGGAGATGGAAGGGAGAAGCGCTGCTTCGATTAGAAGAGAGAGAGAGAGAGTGGGAGAGGAGTGCAACATTGAAGGTACAGGAAGCGCTGTCCATAGTAGAAGAGTGCAATGGTAATAGAGTCTGCGAGGGAAAGGGAGAAGAGTGCAATGGAGCTAAAGTCAGTGAGGGAGAGGAAGAAGAGTGCAATTGGTGCTGTCAATAGAAGAGGAGGTTGGGGGTAAACGAAGAAGAGTTCACTGGAGCTACGGAAGCTGCCGCAGAGATAGCGAAAGGGAGAGTGCAAACGTTTTCGTAACGCTTGAATTGTCAGCAAAGAGATGGGGGGTGGGGGGACTCTGAGAGGCCACCAAAACTCAGTGCAACAAGCAGTGCAATGCCGTGCCTCGCGACTCTACCGCTTTCAACGCATAGCCAATTCAGTGTAGGAGACGCAGTGGGTAACGGGGCGCACAGAACACACCCAACATTAGGTATCCCTCCATGCATAACTCCCGGGCCAGAATCTGTCGTTTATAAATATTTATAAAGCTAACTGAAAGGCAGATTATGCTTTTATCCTTGAGTGACTCCAAGAACAAGACCCCCGACCCGACGACGACCGTGCAGCTAGCTGGCAGCTTAGATTTTGCGTGATTTTTCTGCGATTTTTCACAGTGATTTTATCTGGTTTCATTTGAAGACTTTGAGCATACAGTAAGGGGTCGCTGAAAAGAACAAACTTTTCATTCCTTATTTCTGTTTAGTCTCGGGACTCTCTTAAGCCCATATTCGATGAAAAATCCTTGTAATTAAAGCAGGAAATATTTCCCACATTTTAAATGGAAAGTTCTTGAATACCAGGCATAATAGGGCTGTGAAACTCGAGCTCGAAACTATCTTTAGTTCGAGTTACAACCACACTACAGTTCAGGATTTTTGCATGGGATTAAGTTGCACTGAAGCGTGAATGTTCGCTCATGAGAGATTTCCCTGTCAACGATTCTTTTTGTTTCGCCATCACCAATATCGACTTGCAGCGCAGCGCAGCGCAGCGCGTATCTAATCAATTTCGAACAATATTTGGGCAGCCGTTGCTCCACCTTGAACTGGAGATTGAGACCGAGATTGGGGCCCCAGATTGAGGCTGAGATTGAGCCCGAGTTTGAGCTTGTAATTTGTATTTAGTCGCAGCTGCTAGCTCCTTCGCTCTCCAGCTGCTCCCCGGCACGCCCGCTCCTTTCCAGCTCACTTCACTTGAATTGAGATCCTGAGCAGAGCAGAGCGGATGGCATGGCTTTGGCGGCTGCTCTTTAGTTCCTGATGCTGACTTGCGCCATTAAATTGAATTTAGTTTGATTGCATTTGATTGTAGCTTATCAGAGAGGGAGCCAAGGCACAGAGATTTATGCTTCGTTAACTTTTTAGTGCAATTGTAGCGAAAAAGAGAGAAAAAGCAAAAGAGCTACAGAGAGAGAGAGAGAGAGAGAGAGAGAGAGAGAGAATGGGTGAAACGCGTCTGAAACTGGGAACCGGGATGTGGCTATGGCTGGGATGAGGAGGAGCATTTGCATAAGGCTTCACAAATTTTTAATTAAACCCGCTGAATGATTGCTGACAGTCGTGTGTGTGTGTGTGCTTGTGTGAGAAAAGAGTGTTATAAATAGCTCAAAGGCCTTGATGATGGCTCTGATTCCCGTCGTCGTCGCCGTCGTCTCCTCATCCGTCTTGGATGAGGCGCTGCTCCCTTTCGTCGCTCGCTGCCACTGATGCCGCGGTGGCATAAAGTGCGCACTCATTTTTCCATTAGGCAGCAGCAGCAGCACCAGCAGCATCGCTAGAAAACTCTCACTTTGGTCTATTAATGATGATTCGCTCAGGCCTGGCCCGGCTCCTTCCCCCTTTCCCCTTGGCCTCAGGCTGAGACCCAAACCCCAAGTTGAAATATCATCAAGTTGGATAGAAATGATGCCGCGTTAATTGCGGCTGCGGCCTCCAAGGCGAAATGCAATTTTGCCTTCACTTTGCTCGTTGAGGCGTTAAACTGACAGTCGCCAGGTGCTCTGCCGCTGCCAGTGCCACTGCCACAGCCCCTTCCTGCGTGCGCCTACCTTTTGCTTATCGCCCTACCTGGCGGCGGCCTGGCCCTGACGCGTGATGCGTTTTGATAATTGCACTGGGACTGTGGCCAAAGTTAGTTAAATATTATCATATATGTATACAAGTGCCGCATAGATAAATGTCTACGGTGAAAGCTCCCTTGGGGGAAACAATAATGATTGCATCGGCCTTTGGGTTGTTCCAAGGGAAAGATACATACCTAAGCCTAGGAGATTGATAGATTATCACCCAACAGAGCCTCAAAAACTTAAAGAACGTATCGAATGTTTCTGCTCAAGGGGGTTTCACTGTATTCTGTGTTGCTTTTCTGTTCGCACCGCTGCACAATTAAAAGCTGTCAAAATTTCACTTTGCCCGCTGCCTGCCTCGCTACTCTCTTCTCCCCTCGCTCCTTTTACCTTTTGCTTTGTTTTCCGGCATTATCATCATCATCATCATTATCATCGACAGAATGAACATCATCATGGCCATGCCATGCCGAAATGCCTTTTGATTGTCTTTGCACAATTCAGCGCCAATTTTAAAATCATTTTCACACACGAATGCATCTGGAGTGCAGATACAGAAAGAGTGTGTGGGGGTAGATAGGCCCGGAAATGTTTTTGGCCAAAGAAATCAACGCTTCATCCACTTCCCCTGCCGCACCCAACAACCATCGCTTACACCCACGCACCCGCAGCGCGTTGATAATGAAGTACGCGACTCGTCGCTGTCCCCTTTCCTCTCTCTCTCCGCCGCTCTGATTTCGCATACCTCTGCACCACTGCTCAGTTTACCGCTGCCCCGACCGATTGAGCCGATAAGCACGAAGTGCAGTGCAGCGCAGCGCAGGGCAGATGCTCCCCTCTCGCACCCGTGTAGCATCGCCATCATGTTTGTTTATCTGCAAAGCAACAAATACAACAAATGCAACAAAAGCAAATTCAAATGCAAATAGAAATAAAATAAATCCATTTTTGTTGTTACTTATTGCGTCCAATGGAAAGGGTATAATGATTTGGATCAAATGTTGGCTAACGCCATAGAGAAAAGTGTTTTGGACCCCATAAAGTATACGAATTATTGATTAGAACTTGGTCCTGTGGATGCTCAGTTTGGATACTTGCAGTTTATATGTACATAGTATTACATAGACCAAAGAGCTTCCATAGAATTTATGCCTCTTAAAGGGTATGTAACGCTTCGGTCAGCCAAGCCTGGCATTCATTTCTGGTTACTGCTGGCGTTGTGCGTGGCATGTGCATCGGCTGCTGCTTAATTGCGTGCAACTTTCAGCGGCCAAATTAAATGTAAAGATTGCATTTTCAATGTGCACTAAATAACGCCAAAAATTCAAATATCGACTTTCAGCAGAGTAGGAGGGAGGGTGAGAGTTGGGCGTGATGCGGAGAGAGAGAAGAGCCAGAGAGGAAGAGCACTCAACAGCACTAATAAGATAACAATTTATTTATGTTTACTTGCAGCCAAAAAAAGCAACAAAATCAACGGCAGGCAGCAGCACCACACCAAACCAGCAGACAGATAGCAAAAGTAACTGCAACAACAGTAACAGGCCATTGAACGGGGAGGTACAGCAACAATTGCAAGCGCAAGAGAGGGAGATTTAGTGAGAGATCGGAAACTGCAAGCAATAACGCAATCAAGAAAGAGAGCAGAAACCGCAAGCGCAAATCGATCCAAGAGAGAGAGAACAAAAACTGCCTGAGAGAAGGTGCGAAAGAGAGCGAGCGAGTCAGCGATTAAGAAGGTAAGCTAAAGATAAAGTATTACAAAAACTTGACACGTTTGTGCATGCATGATTCTGTGTGTGAGGAGGGTTCGCTTAGTTCTTCTGCCGTTCTTCGGCACTTTCTGAACCTTTGCATTAATGTAGCAAATCCTCAACTTAGTCAGCAACACTTGACTAAATTGTATGAAAACTAAAGTAGTGAGATAAATTGCATATTTGCTTTATACGGCTTAAGTTAATGGAGAACTACGGTTACTACGGTTACGAAAATATGAATCCGGAACCAAGCAAAAAAGTCCCCTTTTATTGCTTTTCTTTGAGAACTTATTCCCCCAGTGGAAAGTGCGCATTCAGTAGACCCGATTAAATCACGTATTTGAATTGTTTTGGCACAGATTTAATCAGTTTTATGTGATTTCCACTTTTGAGTATCTTTTTGTCAACTTAACATTTAGTGGTTCGCAATCAAAAAGTTTTTATTTGCATAAAATATTTATGTCTTCTGCTAAATATATGCAAGAACTAGTTCAATGGCATTTCGAGTTTTATGAGCAATGGAAATATTATGCCGCCCCTTCACTACAATAAATTGCAACAAAATGGATTAAATTTGTTTAAAAAATAAGTGCAAATGAAATCAATACTTGCATGTCATAACAAGGTCCCTTCTCCTTTTACTTTCTCGATGCTCAAGTCAAAGTTGAGTCATTAACAGTCCGCGCGGTAACCATGGCAGCAGTACCACGAAAAATACTTTCGAGAGTGGCAGAACCTCCCAAGTTTGCGATGCGGTCAGCGAAGAAGTGGCTCTCTGGCCACATAATAATTATCGCTTAATAGGCAAACGCTATGGCGTAGTGGATGGCTGGGCTGGGCAGGGCAGGGGTTAGGGGTCACAGTGGAGCGGATACCGCAAGGCCAATCAAAGCGTCATTGAAACGGAAACGGAAACTGCAAGTCAAATGGCAGTCGGCCACAGGAAATGAGGCGCACAAGTGGCCAAGAAATACTGAAGAGTGTAAAATAGGTGGCAAGAGTGCGGTTACTGCACAGCGACCGCAAATTAACGCCAATCCCACACCATCATCATTCCTGAGGCCGGGCATTCCGTAGTGATATTCTGATGAATTATTAAACGAGTGGCAGGCACGAATGCAGCAGCATCTCGGAATCACCATCATCATCATCATCTTGGCCATATTCTTGTATTTTTTGTTGTTGGCCAAAAAAAGTGACCAAGGCAACGTTTGTCAACGTCATTGGCTTCCGTGGTCCGTGGTTCCGTGGCGACTCCGGCTGCATGGTTCCGTGGCTGAATGAGCGCTCAAATGAACACCGCAATGAATGTGCGCCGCATGACAAATACGTAAAGTTTCTTTTGAAATTAAGCAGCATTTGCTGCCAATTCTTAACTACATCAGCGCCCGAGCCAAACTTTGTCCTCTTTCCTTACCTCCTGCTCTCCTTCTGACACTTTCTGTGTTGGGGGCTGGGGCTGGGGCTGGGGCGCAGAAGCTGAGGCTGTGCTCTTGGAGTAGTTTTTTTTTTTGGCTAGAGCTGGAGAGGAGAGCTTGCTCATTTCAAACTTTTGACACAGAAACTAATTTTGGCAAGCGGGCGTCAACCAGTCAACCGAGATGCCAAAGCGAAAGAAAGAGCAGCAGCAGGACAGAGCGAGTGAGTGAGTGAGTGAGACAGAAGCGGAAACGGAAACGGTGAAGGAAAAGGAGTCACCCAAAAAAAGCAGCCAAAGAATCAGCTCCAACTGCAATCTCTCTGGTTTCGCTGGTTTCTCACCCCTCATTCTTTTAGTGATTGCAATATTTCATTGCCTTCGCGGTTCGTGTGTTGCATACTTTTCAGGCGAGATGTCGCTGAGGTTTTGCCTTAATTAATTGCCAGAGCTAAAGCACTGCACCGCACCGCACCCACTTCCTTCCTTCTGTTCTCGCTACCTCTCCCTCCCACCCGTTTTGAAATGCATTTTTCCCTTCTGTGACTCTGTGTCTTGCATTTTAAAGCATTCCCTCGACTTTGAATGGCACTTTAATTGTCATTTGATTTGATTTATCCCCCCCACCCAAAAGCCCCAAACTTAAGCTCGAAACCCAACCCAAAGCCTGCTCCACTCTCTGGGTTTATCTTGTCTTCCGTTGGTCGAGCAAATTAACGCTCTACGGGAGGTCGGGTGGTCCGGCTGTCCAGTGGTTCGGTGGTCGGTGGTCGGGAGTGAAGCTGTCAAATCAAACTTCCCGGGACTTGTGCAGATTTATGACATTTTGATTAGGCGATAAGTGTCAAAGCTGCATTAGTACGAGCATCTCGCCCTCACTCCCTGCCTGTCCAAGTGGGCGCTGGTGTGGGGGGTGGGGATGTCCAGCTAAATGACAAGCACTTGCCTCATGAATATGCCACAATTTCGATGCCAATTTAAGCCGGCAAATACACCTTAAAAATGTTTCAATTACGAGCACATTTTGCACTCGGAAAAGTGCTTCTTCCTTATGCATATTGAAAGAGAGCGAGAGACGCAAGCGGAAGCAAAATTCAAACAAATTTCCTTTTGAAAATAAGCCATTAAACGAGAGAAGAAGGCCAAAAAGTGTACATTTGAGGAGTGTGTTTGCCAATCATATTTTGTTTCGCCCACAGGACCAGGACCAAGGCACGGGACACTCGCTCTGTTTTTCTCTAGAGAATCGATGCTGATGCAGTTCTGGGCGCTTGTTGTGTCAATTACATGGCTAAAATGTTCACACCTTTCGTTAATAATGCAAATGCGAAATGCAAATGAAGGTAGCAGAAGAAGCAGCAGTTGCCGTTGCAATTGCAGATACAGATACAAATGCTATGGCAGCAGCGTATCTAACAGATACCGGAATAGAGCCAAAGAGCTCAAGCTGATTGCATTTCATTTTCAATTTAACTTACTTTTATTTCGAGCAATGGAAGAGAGGTGAGTGGAGCTGCAGCTCCCGGTTTTTGCAATTACCATCGAATGAACGTGGACGGGAGACCTAGACCCTGGGCACTACCCTGAAAGCGATGAATTTGTGTAGTGGTGGGGAGCATCAGAGGATTGGAGTGCAGTAGAGTGGAGTGTGGACTTGGAATTACATTTTCAATATTTTCTCTGGCCCCTTGTCATTGCACCCCGCCGCACTGTTCATGCACTTTCCCATTTTCTTGCCTAGATTCTTGTGCACTATGGCCATACATTTTTAACTACAACAAGCTCTTGAATGCAATTACTTTTCAATCTTTTTTTTTATTTTCTATTTTGCCTTATGCCTCACTCGAAGACTCCTCCTCTCCTGCATGTCTGTCTGTCTGTGTGTGTTCTATAGTTTCAACGCGAAAATTGCTTATTTCAACATTCAACTTGAGAAAAAGTTTCGTTGCGTCTCGTTACGCTTAAAAAAAAAACACGTAAAATAAAAGGAAAAGTTTGCCATAATTTTGCCAAGAGGTCTATCACTTTCTTCGCCTTCAACTTGCCCTTTCTCTCTCTCTCTCTCTCTCGCTCTCTATCTCTTTCCCCTTTCTCTCTGTCGCTTTGATTACTTTTATTTTTGCGCTCTTCTGGCCTCCTGTTATTTATTTTAACCCGAGCAAAAAAGTGGCTTGAACTTTTTGTTATTTGATCAGGAATTTGACATGATGCTTGGTTTATGCAAAAGAAGGCCAAAGAGAAAACTTGCGACACTGAAATCTATGCGACACTTTTTCCATTTTCCTGCACTGAGAAAATGCACTTTTCCCAGGCAGTTATGAAAGTCATTTCACAGCTAACAGCAACAGCAAAAATTATGCCATAAGAATGGAAGTTGGAGATTAACTGATAAAAACTATAGGTATCGGTAGAGGATTAGGCAGATTAGCTTTGGGGGGCAACAAAAAATGGAAAATAAACTTTAAAAAAGCGAAGAGAATTTTATTATTATGGTATGCACCGAATTTTGGGTTGCACTACTGTCGAAGAGAACTAAAAACAGTGGAGATCTTCCTCTGTGAGATCATTAATGAATCATGGAAGGCGAGGCAGCTGCTTTTCGACTGGCGGCTAATCCTCTGCTCGGTTCACCCTTTTTGTTTGTCAGGATTCATGCATGTTCATGTCCAAAACGAGACGACAAGAGAGATTCCTTTGCAGCAGCAGTAGTTCTGCATTTTCAGCTGCTTGGGAAATTACGTTGTGTAATGCCACTTAATCTTTTTATACACGAACCAGAGCACTCAGCGCACTCAGCGAACTCTATGGAAGTGTGTGTGTATATTTTTTGTTGCATTTGTAAATGATTTGAGTGGCTGCGTGGGCGGATTAGTGCAACGGATTAAGAATGAAAATGTTTGCAAAATATGAAAAGTTTATGGTCCGGTCGGCAGATTAAGAATGAATGTTTTTTATTGCGGCTGCTGCAGGGCATAAGTCAAAAGTGCCCACAGGTAGTCCACAGGTATCGGCTGAGGCTCGCGGGAAGGTGCGAAAAAAATGCATTAGGCATCTGTTGTGGCAGGTAGATGTTGAGTTTCTGAGTTGTATAAAAAGCAGAGGGAGTGCTGGAAAGGACATCAAACGATCTGAGAACGTTGAAGAAGTAACATTGCAACAGCAGCAAACAAAAGAAAACTTCTGTCTGTGATCTATCAGCAGAAATTGAAGCAAGCAATATTTCCTCGAGTATTAGCTACAAGCCGTGCCACAACATTTACGCTACAATCAACAATCAATCGAAGATGCCACGCTACCAGAAACTCATCAACGAAGACAGCACCATGGAGACCTCTACACTGCCCCAACAGAAGCAGAAGCAGTACCAGTTCCACCAGCAGCAGGAACAACAACATGCAAAGCAGCATCAGCATCGCCATCAATACCAGCAGCAGCCAGCGAATGTGGGCTACCATCTGTATCTGTATCGCCAGCAACTGGCACGCCGCAATGTGGAGTACATGCGTCTGTCCAAGGCCAAGTACTGCATCACGGACACGCTGCTGGCCAAGACGGTGCGGAATCTCAAGGCCTGCAGTGTGGACGAGCTGAAGACGGTCAACAATCAGATTGTGTTCCGGCACAAGCTGAAGCATCAGATCCGTCGTCTGCGCAAGCTTCAGTTTTTGGGTATTAAGAATGCCAATCCGCAGATGGAGAGCACAGAGCTGTAAGATGGATGAGGCAGCAACAGGAGGAGGAACAAAAGCAGCCCTGGCTATGACTTGAGCTTAGCCAGGAGCAGCAGGAGGAACCCAGAGAAAGCAGCTGCAAGATGAAACCAAATGGAAAAGCAACAACAGGTGAAGTCTTGGCTATGAATTGCGCCTAGCCACAGTAGGCTTCCGTCTGTCAGAGCCCAGAAGCATGACCTATGAGGCCATGACCTGTGGCTGCTACGTGGATCAACAAACATAGTTTAAGTGGCGGGCACTGCATTAATCTATATTTAAATTATTTACGGCTAATATTTACACAATTTTCAAAAAATACATATCAATAAATTTACTTACTGTTGCATGAAAATGTTTGAAGATTTTCCGCCCTTCACAAACGTAGACATTCTGGGATTAAGGGTCAACCCTAAATCCAACTATCAACTGAGGGCAATTTGTGGCATCAACTAATTGAGTTTGTGTGTGTGTGTTTGTGTGTGTTTGTAGCGCTTTGAAATGTGTCAGGAGAAATCATCTTTTGCTGTTTCATCTCACGAGTCATTTGCTATTCTCTCCCTCCCACCTTGTGACCGCAAATCCATTAGGAATTCATAAGTTTGTGTGTGTATGTGTGTCGGTGTGAATTCATTTTTGAGAGGACATTGAACTGGTAGAATATTTTTAGCTTTATAATGCCAGACACAGACACTGAAAGTCTCGTCTTTTTTGGGTTCATTTGGGTTCGACTGATGATCGTACCAGCAGCAGCAGCAGCAACAGCAGCAACAGCAGCAACAGCAGCAGCAGCAGCAGCAGCAGCAACAGCAGCAACAGCAGTTTAATTGGAAAATCATTTTGCACAAAGTGCTTTACACTTAACTTAACACCGAACATAATTATTTTCACTCAAAATAATATTAATAAATGGAGTTTCCACACTCCTACACAACACACTCCCCCTTTTCCCCTTTGGGCCATAATAAATAAATGGCGCACATAATGCGGCCAGTAAGTCAATTTTATTATTGAAATGAGTTGTGCAATGTTCAAACAAAAACCTCAGGCGGCATGGCGCTTGCCTCTCCACCACCAAAGTGAATGTTGTGAGCGTTAACAATTAAAATGTTTAAATAGCTTTACATATGTATATGCCACATAGGATGATCGGCCATGCAAAATTGCACATGTGTGTGTGTGTGTGTGGGAAAGGTTGCAATTTGCCAACACTCAAAAGTATGCTATGAAAAATGTCGCACGCACACACATTAAATTTTCCACACAATCAATTTTCCTTCCAAAGAGAGCGACAGACAGAGAGAGAGAGGGGGAGAACAACCACTGGCATATGTTCATTTTCTATAAAATTGATTTATTTACGAATATGCATCGACATTTAATCGTTCAGACTTCCTGCTGCATGCAAATTTAAATGTAAAATTTACTTTACAAGCGATGACAAGAGCAGCAGCATCAGCAACAGTGCCCGCCGCAGTGGCAGACTTCTCAGACGACGACAACGACTTGTCGAGTCGATTAGTGGGCTTCATTATGTGCATCATTTTCATTATGTTTATTATGGGAGAGAAAACGTAGCATTCTACACCCACACCCACTAGCCCGCAGTAGGGGTAGGGTAGCTGTAGACATAGCTATAGACCCGGCCACAGCCAACTTCTCGAGTTAATGCAATAAATAAAATACCAACTGCACCATGGGGCATGTTTAGCCGCATGAAAAGCGACAGTAATCCGGGAACGGGGGCGGCCTGCCTGCCTGCATAAGAAGTTGCCGCCTGTTTATCTTGGGGGTCCTCTCTCCCTTTGTTTATTCTGGTCTTGGGGAATGAGGCTTCCAGGATGCTGGGCCTGCCTGCCTGCCTGCTCTCTGTCACTGGGTGGCTGTTTTCTTTCAAAAAGTTGTTGCCCCTGCTTGCTGTTGTTGCTGTTGCTGTTGGCCGGTGTTTGGTTAGACCAGTGCAGAGTCGCTTGGCTGCCTGCTTGGCCAACTGCCCTAATGAGTTTACAAAAAGTTTTGCTTTAACAAAATGCCAAGGAGTGGCAGAAGCAGCAGCATCAGCAGAAGCAGCAACAGCAGCAGAGTTTAGTGGAGCAGTTTAGTGGCAGGGTGGGGGGTGGTGGGCTGTGTGGAGTGGCAGCAACTGCCCAGCATGTTATACAAATTGCAAGGGGGACGGACCCTGGACCAAAACTGTCATCAACGTGTCTGCCTTACTGTCGTCTTTCTCCCTCTCCCTCTCTCTCTCTGACTGTGCGGCAGTTGCAGGACGTGCATGTGGCTTGCTGCTGCCCCAACAACTTGGAGTTGCCTCCCATTTGTTTACCTATCCCATTTGCTTTCCAGTTGCATTGTTGCCTGGTTACTTGGCGACTAAGCGAAAGTTTTCGCATTTATGTTGCAGCAACAGAGAAAGACAGAGATAGAGAGAGTCGCGCACAGAGAGCGAGAGGGGGAGTGGTAGTGAGAGGCAGTTGTGCGGAGAAGAATATGCATTTTAATTAGTTTAGCAAAGTTGCAACTGCAACTCCCAGACACCGGAGGAGTCGTCTGCCGGTCTGGTTAATTGCGCAAATTTAATGGCTGCTGCTGCTGCTGTTGCTGTTGCAGGCGTCTTCCCTGTGTCGCCTGCAACTGTCATTGGACTTTAATGTGTGTGCGGCAATGTGTTTGTGTTTGTGTGTGTGTGTGTGTGTGTGTGTGTCGCAGGGAAAAGTTTCCTTTAGCCTACAAGCCTTCAGCCGCAAATGCAACACAAAACTTGTTAACATTTCACATTTCACCAAGTAGCAAATTCAATTAGTTTGTTGTCATCTGTGCAGCAGCAGCAGCAGCTTCTCCCTCTGCCTCTGCTGCTGCCCCTAGCTTCGAGAACATTTTAGCAAATTACTTTAATGCCCCCAAAAGTTGCCACATTAATTTCGGTCGTAATTTACTCAACCATTTTCTGTTTACTGGAATGTGTCTCTGCCACACATAAATTAATTTGTCTAAACATAAATCCGTTGACTGTTTTCCTGCCTTCCATGCTCCACGTGCAGCATTGTGGCCGAAACGAGGCTGCAATTGATGTCAGCAGCAGCAGCAGCAGGGCGGAGCAGGGTAGATAAAAAAAACCTCATTAGGTTTTTCAATAAATTTAATTCAATATAAATAGAGTGCCGTGCCGGCTAGAGTCGAGTCTCCCGTCTTGTGTCTCGTCTGCTGACTGCCAGTCAGCAGTCAGGCACTTCATCTTCGTCTCCTTGGGTCTTCCTGTGCAATCCCTGGGGCTCCTCCTTTGGAGTCCCTTTTTGGGGCGGCAGACAGTGGCGGCAGCAGTGCAGGAAGCGTCAAAGTTGCACACGTCGCCGTCAGCGAGGACTTAGAGCAGCTGATGATGCAACGAGTACTTCTCCTGCTGCTTCTGCTGCTGCTGCTATTGCAACTTCTCTTCTTGCTTCTCCTGCCTGAGAATGAGACTGAGGCTGCTCTTCTTCCTGCTTGGGTTGAAACTGCTGCTGATGCGCTCCTTCCACCACAACGCTTGCCGTGTGCAGATGTCTAGGATTATGCACTGGGAACAAGTGAGACTTGCAGAGATTCTTTATTTAAATGGAAATTATTCAAGTATTTTTAAAGCATATTTAGGCCAGATTCAGATGCAAATGAAACATATTTAAGTGGACACAGAACTCTAATGGATAACAAAGAAGAATATATATTTGTTCTTCTTTGTATCAGTCTCCTCTCTTGCTTCCAGGTTATTTCTCTCAGTGTCCATACACTGTAGCTTGAGCCGCTCTTAGTCGAGCGTTGGCAAACGCGTAAATTTGGCGCTTCAAAGCGGTGATTATGTCGTCGTCATCGTCGTCTGCTGCAACCTCTCTCTCTCTAGCATTAGCTCTCCCTCCCTCCCACTCTCTCTCTCTCTCTCTCTCTCTTGTTCTTATGCCTGCCTCTCATTTCTTGGCCAATTTTTCTTGTTCTTTTTCTGTGCCCGACTGCAGTGGCGCCGACGTCATCAGTTGAATAAATTAAGTTGCCGGCAAACAGCTAAATGAAATTGTTAATTTGAAGCTGCACAGCGGAGCGGATACTTGATGCTGCCTGTCTGCTGCCATCTGATGTCTGCTGCTGCGTTGCCAGAGTTACACCTGAGAGGAGTTGCAACTGAGAGGAGTTGCCTGTGGAGCGCTGGCTGGCCGCTAAGCCGCTTATGGCATGATCTCAATCCAATGAGCACAGAGCCATATGGCTGGACATCAATGGAAGCACTTCAAAGTGCGACCAAAAAAAGAGACGGAAAAGATTCTTTTTCTGCTTTTGTCTCTGTGCCAGTGGATGCCTCGCTCGCGCCTCTTCAGTCTCTGTGGCACAGCGCAGCAACTGTTAACTCTTTGTATCACCATCTGATCCCCTCTTTGTATTTCTTTTTCTTTCACTGGCATTCATCTGCTGCCACAACTTCCCTTCCCGCTTCCGTCATTCATCTGTAATTGCATTTTAAATGTTTGGCTGTAAATTGGCAAATGATTACTTGAATTTATATTAAACTTTAACCCTCAGCCACCTAATTAGCTCGTGGGTGGTGGCTGGTGGAACTTCAGTTACAGTTTCGATTTCGATTTGGCGTTAACTACTTTTTCATATGACCATCAATCTGTGGCGATTGCAAGTTTCGTGTGGCTGGTTGCAACTACCCCAAAAGGGCCAAGACAATAACAAAAAAGGAAATGAAGCAAAAAAAAACCGAGGGAGGAACTTTTGCGCACCGAAAGAGAGTGAGTGCGAGGGGGGTGGGGCAGAAACAACTTGAAAATATATTGAAAATGCAGTAGTTTTCCTCCCGTCTTCTTTTCTTTTTTGTGCGATTTTTCTGTGTGGAAACTTTTGTGCAAGTTCTTCCCTTTTTGGTATCCATGTCCCCTACTCCTCCCATAGAATGCTATGCCCTGTGCCATAGCCTGTGCTTAAACTGACGTAAATTTATAATGACAAATTGCATTTGGAGCAAATGCGGCGAAAAAAAGCAGTGAGAATGGGAGGGACTGGGGAGAACTCTCTCCTGGAGTTGCGGCCAATTGAGCGTGAAAAATTATGAAGCCAGTAAGAAAATGGATTAAACTGAAGCCAGGAAAAACGAGCAGAGACAATGGTAGAGGGGGTACAGAGAGCGGTGGAAGGAAGGAGACATTCAAAGTGCTTAATTACAGTTTAAATCCGCTTTAATGCAAATTCTTCACTTTGATTTCTGCATATTAGGTTTGATTGTTGATTAAGCCAAATGAATAATGAATTGACAGCGCACACAAGTTAAAAGTCAGCTTAAAGATGGCTCGAACAAGAGCCAAACGATGGCAAGGGCAAGCTAAAAAAAAGAGTAAAAAGATGGCCGAGAATAAGACTGAAAATATGTCTTGCATAAGAACTTAAATTTGGATACAATTAGAGTTAGAAGATGGCTTGAAAGAGAGTAGAGAGTTGCGTGAAATATGAGTGAATATGGCATCTAAATAAAAGTGAAAATAAGCCTCAAATAATAGTGTGAAAATTGGCCAGAAAATGTGTGTATCAGATGCACTCAAACAAGAATGAAAACTTTCCCTCAAGTAAAACAAAGGAAATAGAATAATTAAGAAGGAAAATTGATTCAGAGAAATGTAAGGAAAGTGAACTTTGCTTTACAACAAATATGCTATATGCATTTCCAGCAAAAATATATTTTAATTGGTTGAATTATGTGCTTCACTTAAATTTGGGTTTGATTGATTTTAAGATTTGAAAAATGTAAAAGACTTGAAATATTATTTAAGCAACAAAATGTGCTGCATAAACTGATCGTTTAACCCTCAGCTTAGCAGATTGATGGAATTTTCTGTATAATAAATACAAAAACCAAAAGGATATGGGCACATTCCATTCACCCGTGGCGGAGGGTTCTGTCCTTCTTAAACCACTCTGCGTATGAAAAATGTAAAAACGAGTGAAACCTGAAGCCTGACGAAAGGGAAGGACCCCTCGGCTAACAAACAATCTCCTAGCCACCATATCAGTCAGACTAACAGAGCAGCAGTGCAACAGCAAAAGTAGCTTAAATTTCACTACCATTTCCCACCCTTACCTTCCACCAACTTCTATTCTTTTCGCTGCTGTGGCAGGGCTATAGGCTATGGGCTGCTGCTGCAGCTGGGTCATGGGGCGCCACCGTCGCGTCAGGGCGATAAAGCAAAAAATGACACGTTTTTAATTTTACTTCACACCTACACAAAAGCAACAGCAGCAACAAGGAGAAGAAACTGTAATCAAAACTGCAAGAGAGCAACAGTCACAACAGCAACAATAACTGGCAGTAGGAGCAACAGCAACAGCAGCAGCAGCAGCGACAACTTGCAACAAGAAAAACTGAAGGTGGCAACAACAGCCAGCAACAACAACTGAAAGGTGACAACAATGCAACTAACTGGAGAAAGAACGCAATACAAAATGGGACAGCAGCAGCAGCAGCAGCAGCAGGAGAGGACCAGAGACGACACTAGGAGCCAGAACTCAGAGCTCCAGAGTTTTCAGAGCTTCAGAAAGAGAAAAATTAGATTTATCACGAGTGGTTGCCGGAAAAATTGTCAACATTTATCAACATTTTTCAACGGGGGCAGCGGCACCTCAAGAAAACTACAGCAACAGCAGCAGAAGAAGAAGCAGAAGCAGCAACAAAAGGCAAAGGAAAACTCTGTGTTGCCAAGGCTAAGCCAAGTCCAAAGTATGCCAACACCTCTGGCCAACGGGGCGCTGGTGCTGGCTATGGCTATGGCTCTGGCTCTGGTTTTTTTTGTTGTGGCCGCGTGGGAGTGCTGCACCGCACACTGCATTTTGATTAATATCCGCAACGTCAAGCCATGGCCGCTCTCTCGAAAGTTGCAACAAATCCATCCAGCAACAACAATTGCAATCGCAATTGCCACACGAAAGAGCGCTCTCGTTGATTCTGTTTGGGAGCCGAGCCGAGAGCCGTTGATTGTGAAAAGTGGTCACGAGATGATGACAACAAATTCACTGGCTACAAATGAAAACAAAGTTGGCAACGAACGAACGAACGAACACTTTTGCCTGTCAGTGTACATGGAGTGTAGGTGTTGGCTACCAATCTCTTTATACAGTCTCTCCCCATCCACTCTACACTCTCTCCCCTCTCTCTCTCTCTCTCTGTATTCTCTACTTAGTGAAAGCCAGCAAAGGAGAACTTTCCTAAAATGAGAGTCCATGAATGCGGTTTATATTCTCTTTTGATTGGAGCGGACCCAGAGAATGTTTAAAATATTGCTGCAGATTCAAATTTTCACTTGAAAAAAGAGAGCAATTAATATAAAGACAGATAGGAGGGAAAAGCCTTTCAATTATCTAAAGTGATTCCGAGATTATTTAATTTAGATAAACCTGAAAAATAAGCAAAAGTTTTCATCAATTTTCTATGGGGATTTCATGGGTTGATTCTCCCAAAACGTCCATCAACTCTTTCGCCAGCAGCTGCTCCGCTTCTCCGCCACTGATGAAAGTGAGAGCCAAACAATAGAACCCCCCCTCAACACACCCCCACACCACTAGACACATAAGCACACACAGCCCACCCCCCCTTCCCAACATAATCGCATTTTGAACTTTTTCAATAATAAAACTTTTCTAAACGGATTTCCCGCTGGACGGTTGCGCTTTAATAATTTTTGCTGTTTTATCTCTCGTTTTTTGTAGGACCCGTAGGACCAAGAGAGTGGGTAGCAGGCATCCAGCAGGAGCAGGAAGGGTCAAAGTGCATCAAAGGCATTAATTTAAATTGGATATTATGTGCGCAACGGCAGCAGAAAGGACACACACCAAAACCACAGAGAGGTAAGTCCGGAATTTCCCACTACGTGGAAAATGCTTTAACAAAAGAATATCCTTGTTCCAGCTCATGTATGACAAATCCAAGAAATCGTGGAGTCAACGGCTCAAGACACTCGGCAGCAGCCACAGTGGAGGAGACGCCTCTCTAGGCACCGTCAGCGGCATGCAGGCCATGCAGCAGCTGCAGCTGCATATGCAGCATCAGCACCAGCACCAGCACCAGCAACAACAGATGCAACACCAGCATCAGCAACAGCAGTTGGCCCAGCACTTGCCCCAGCACCATGGACACCATGGGCACCACTTGGCTGCCTATCAGCTGCCGCCGCCCGTTGCCGCCGAGTTCCTGCCCAGCGCCCTGTCGCGCTCCATGAAGTATGCCGAGCCCTGGATCTATGGCACTGTGCGGGGCATACCCGCGCGTCCCTCCTACGGCTACCATCATCAGCAGCTTCAGCAGCTTCAGCAGCATCATCATCCCCATGCGGCGGCCATCTTTGCCACGGACGGGGGTGGCGACTCCCCCCTGCGGGGAGCCCTGGCAGTGGTGATCTGTTCGTGCGCCGAGTATCTGAACGGAACGAAACGTGACGTGAAGAAGGCGAGCGTATGCAAGAAGTGCAAAGGTTCGCGCCTGCCCCTGGCCACCATCGGTGGCGGCACTGTCGGGGGCACTGTCAGACTGCCAGCTGTCAGCAGCAGCGGCGGGGGCAGGAGCAGCCGACCGATGGCTGCCACAATGCGTGTGGTTAGTGCCACAAAGAAATCACGTCCCTCCATTCTGGATCCACAGAAGGATCCCTACGACCTGATGCGACGCACGCGACTCCTCTCGCCGGAGCCGACGAGTGCCAGTGCCAGCAGCAAGGACTCCCCCAGCAAGGAGGGAAAGTCACGTAGCCGCGAAACGGCCACGATATCCACGACAAGGGGTCGCACCCGTACTAGGGCACCGCTGCCACCGTCAAAGGGGGCTGCTGCTCCCCCAGCAGCAACATCTGCAGCACCAGAGCCCGCCGACTGCTGGCTATTGGAGGACAATGATGCACTGCTGCAGAGCAGCGGCCTCAGCGGCAGAGCCTCCAGCGCTGGCAGCAGTCGCCGGTCCATCCTTCGCTGCAACGTTAATCCCTACGACCTGATCTCAATTGAAAATGGGAAGCAGAACCAACAGCAGCTGCAGCCGCAGCAGCAGACGCAGCAGAAGAAGAAGCAGTCGGGGAAGTCCGTCTATGTGGATGACTTCGATGTGGCCGATGCCCAGCTGCACGACGACGAGCAGGAGCGCCAGCGGAGCGAGCAGCGGGAGAAGGCAAAGCGCAAGAAGTTCTACGGCAACAATGTGGCGGCCATTGCAGGCCAAAGGATTAGCCTGGGCAAGGAGAAGCCAATCGATCCATCCGATTCGAGCGACAGCTATGAGCGGATCATTATCGCCTCGTCCTCCTCCTCCTCTTCGGGGGAAGCGGCGGCGACGTCTTCACCCCCAGTGGTGGGGCCGCGACGTCCGCCACGCAATAAAAAAGCAGATGAGCCGACAGCAATCAGCCCGGAAGTGCCTGTAACGGCAACAATGCCTGTAACTCCTTCAAAGGCGACTCCAACTGATGTTGAGAATGATGCAGATGATGATGATGATGATGGTAATGATGGCACCTCGGCCTTTACACTGCTCACTGTGACGCCCACAATGCCGGCCATCAAGTCCATACTGAAGCGGCGTCCATCCACATTGGAGTTGCCTTCAGCTGCCGTGTCTCCTTCTTCCGTCATCCTACTGCCCGACGGTGGTGTGGCGGCGCCACTGCTGACGCCTTCGGGCAAGTCACAGTTCTACATTCCGACGCCAACGAAGGCGACAGCTGCCACGCCCACGAACACAGCTGCAACAGCAACATCAACACCTACACCCACGTCCAGTGGTGGCACACCAGGAGCGAATGGTGCGACGATGACGCCAACATCGAGTTCACGCAAAAAAGTGCAATTTATGGTCGAGGATAAAATCATAGCCACGACAACGGATACGGCGGCGACAACTGATGACAGCAGCGATGCCAGCAATGCCTTTGTTGCCCCAGCCCCAGCCACGGCTGGATCTGCTGCTGCTGCTGCTGCTGGTGATGATGCAACAACAACAACAACCAGGACAAACTATGAGTACTACAATCGCAAGAGAAATGCAGCAGCAGTAGCGGCGGCAGCCACAGCGGCAGTAGGGAGAGCCGCAGCAGCAGCAGTAGCAGCAGCGGCACAGCAGGAGACATTTGCGGCTGACGTTGATGATGAGCATAACTTTACAACTTCCGCTGAACCAACAGCAGCATCAGCAGTGGCAACAGCAACAGCAACAGCGTTGCACATTAAGCCGGATAGTTTGCATTATGAAGATGTGCTGCCACCACCGTTGCTGCCTCAGCTGTCCGGGCATCAAATATTTGACAACAGCAACAGCGACAGCAGGAGCAGCGAACCAGCAACTGAAATGCTGCCAAAATTATTATTGCCAGCGGAGGAGGAAGAGGATGATCCAGCAGCAGCAGCAGCAGCATGGCACTTGGGCTTGGGGTCCCCGCATGTCACTGGAAATGCTGTCAGCGTTTTGCCAGACGGTAAGTACAACAGACTATATGGAAGCTAGAACCACCATTCAAACTGTCCCCTGGTTGCCATTTGGTTGGAGCTCTCTTGGCCTTTTGTTGGCTTTTAATTATGAGGCAAAAAGAGTAGCAGAATAAATGCCAGCCAAGCAGTTTTTCTTACCCTATGTGACCACAAGAGTCACATAAGCAAAGCCATTCGAAAGGGCACAGCCCTCCACAAAAAAAGAGCATGCCACATTCGTTGGAGCCATAGCCACATGGCTATGTAGATACTCGTTCTTTTTTTCCACATTCTCCCCACTGCTAGTCTGTCATTCATTGCTTCACTCTTTCATTCATTCATTCTTGGGATGGTCACTGTTTATTTTTGAGCTAAAATGGAGCAATTGTTTGCTAATTGCTCATCACCGCACGGTACGGCACGGCACGGCACGGCACGGCTCATGTGGAGTCTGCTGCATATATATTACGTATACGCAAGCTTGACGACAACACTTTATGCATTAGACAAATGTCCTGCCGCCAACCCCAACAAGCAGAGGGGAAAAATGGGATGGGAAGTGGTTGTGCAAGAACCAGAGCCAATTGAAATGGTGACATTTGAATGGGAACTATGGGGTCACACCTGCTGCAAGTTCACGGAGGGGTTAACACCATAATCAAGCATCAGAGTGAACCCTCCTCTCAGACCTGCAGACCCAATTGACACACAAAGTCTCACAGTCATCTCCTCTTACATACATACTCCATACATACTCCTACTCCTACTCCTACCTCTATGCTTTAAGCGACTGAAAACAGCTTTGCACACATATCCATCCAAAGGTGGCTTGCCACCACCACCCACGGCACGTAGCTACGCGGCAAACAGAACGGGGACCACACGACTACGACCATAGCTACGACTACGACTAGAAGGCAGAGTCAACGTGACATTTGCACCCACAAATGGCTGAAAACCCACAGCGATATGGCACCAAAACTATGTACTTCCCATATATATGGTTTTCCCTTTTCCTACGACGGGAATGCAGGGACAAGGACTGGGAGGCGTGTCGCACATGTTCGACTTCATTCAAAGCAAATTAACAGCCGACACACACTCTTACAGACAGACATACATACACACATACAGAGAGAGAGAGAGAGCGAGTGAAACTTTTCATTCAATTAAATTTTCAAGGGGCGACATTGCTACATTGAAAAACTTGGGTCCATCAGAGAATTAAGTGCGCGTGTTCTGTTCGATTAAAGACAAAGAAAGATGTGTGACCAGGGTATATTGTCGTGATTAATTTTCCCACTCAATAGGAAAAGACTGCATTCTGGAATGTGGCTGCTATGCGGCTCAGACAATGCCAATTTCTTACGAGTGGAGACACTCAACCATGCCCCAACGACTATGCTTATGGCTGTCTATTACAGCTGCAGGGGCAGCTGCAGGGGACAGGAACAGCCACATGAAAGGTTGGGAGGGTGGAGGGGTGGGAGAGACGCCCCATCGGGAGCGTCATAAAGGTGACATGGTCGTGGCAATGGGCGCCCACGTGTCTCTGCGCGAAGACAATTACAAAGTTCCTCCTTTGCGTGGCTTTCGCTCTCTGTGGCTTCGTGTGCGCCTCATGCCGCACAGCTGCCTGCTTCCTGCCGCCTGCAATTTGTTGCATTGTTTGTCGTTGGGTGCAACGATAGCGACGCTGACTCTGGCTCTGGCTCTGGCCTGGCCAGGGGTTTAAGCACTTGGAAGTTGGCAAACTATTTTTGATTTGATTTTTGAAATTGGTTCGCTTTGGGCGCTTAGCGTAAGTTGGCGTTGCAGGCGCCTGCACGACGCCCCCACCAACCCAACAAGAGCCCACTCGCATTCCCCGCCCCAAGCCGCCCGTCCCGTGATGATTTATGGCGCACGTGTTGCACTCACAGTTGCCACAGCCGCAGCCAAAGCTTTGCAGAGAGTGGGTCGCCAGGCTAGGCCCAGACGAGAACAGGAGAGGAGACAGCGACAGAGACAGCCGGGCCAAATCACAGTGAAAGGCATTAAAGTGATAGAGTCTGGCCGGTCTGGTCGACGGTGAAATTTGCATTTTTAATGCCCCAACGCCCCCGTGGCAGACGGCCCCCGGCCCTGGGTACCCATTTTTGAGTCATGGCCATGGCCTGGCCTGGGCCGGCCTCGCGTTTTTGTGGATTATTAATATTTCATATTTGTCTTTGATAAGCGGAAAGTGCGCAAGAGACACAGATACATACATACATCCACCCAGTCGTGGAAAATGCTGAAAATTGATTCGATTCGCAGTTCGGATTGGGAATGGGATTGGGATTAGATATGTGTGTGTAGAAAACCTTTTCTCATTCCATTTTTAATGGAATTCTTTGGAATTTGTAATGGCAGACAAAAATGTTGATTTAAATTTAGAATATGCTGAAATGGATACGAGGAGGGATTAGAGGGATTATTTATGCGATTCAATAATTGGATATTCTGCGATTTGTTTTTCTTTTTAAAAGGATGCTCACCTTGTGTTTCGTATAGAGATCTTCATATTACATATACTTTGTCTCTGTAATAAATTAAAGATTAAAATTAAAAATTAATTCAAAGATTTAAATAACATAATTCTTTCATGCCATAAAATCATAAAAAAACAAAAATTAATTCGTTGCTTTAATGGATTTATAAATTATATTTATATCATATTATATATATGTATATATCATATTTATATTAATTTCTGGAATTTCATATTTTTATCAAATTTTCTCTTAGTTTGTTTGACCGACTATTTTTGTTTGAAACCGAATGTGTGTACATATTTAAAATGTTTTAAATTCTAATCGTGGCATAATCAATGAAACTGCCCTTCCTGCTCTTTGCCAAATTAATAATAAATTGCAGCCAGCAACATTAAATTGTGCAAATCATGAAATAATTTAGCATGAATTTTCGCCAGAGGGGGAGTACAGCGGGGGCAATAGCAAGGAAAAGCGAGTGAAACATTTCCAATTAACACGTTGCTGGCCGACAGTAGTATTTCAAAGGAATATCTATCCAGTAGCTGGAGGTATGGGATATTAAGTCATTAGCATTTTTCGCCCTCTCCTTCTATCTCTTTATTCCCTCTCCATCCCGCTCTCTCTCTCTCTCTCGCTCTCTCTCTCTCTCTCTCTCTGTTAGCCCTACTCTTTGGTCCATTCAGTGAAATTTTCGCTTTCCTTCCTCCTTTGGCTCTCTCTCTCATTGCTCATTGCAATTTGCTTCACTAATGTTTCTTCTCTGTTTTCAAACGTCTCTCCATTCATTTAATGGCGTCTGCTTTAAATTCCTTTCTCACTCACACACAGCTCTCTGTCTCTCTGGCACTTTGCCCGTCTCTCTTCAACATTCTCTGTCTCTATCTCTGCTGGACCATTCCTTTGGCTGCTGCTGCTGCTGATGCTGCTGCTGCTCTCAAATGAAGTGTGAACGAGAAAAGCGTTTGCCGCTTTCAAATGAGATTTTTAAATATGACCAGCAATTGTACGAGTAATTCCGAAAAATGCCAATACCAGAGGCACAGAGAGACGCAGAGTGGCAACATCTATAGAAGCAGCAGCAGCAGCAGCAACATTGTTACAGTTTTTGCATTTTATATTCCCATGCTCAGCGGAAGTTGAGCCTCATGTCTTCATGTACTTTGCATATTTACACTAATAGAAATTGTGGCAGGCAATTGAAAACGGAGCCCAGCGCCACACAAAACTTTTGCCACACTGCCACACAGAGACGGCAGCCATTGCTGCTGCTTCTGTTGCTGCTGTTCCTGTTTTATGTGTGGCAATAAAAAGTGTCGCAGGCTCTAGGAGGGTGCATGGGGCAGAGCCATGGGGCAGTTTTTACGGCTGTTGTTGCCTCCTTCTCCTCCCCCTCCCCATCCTGCCATTGCTGCTGCGGCTATTTTATTGTTGCGACAACAGCAGTGGTGCTGCATTTGTATATGGATTTATCTGTGTGTGTGTGTGTGTGTGTGTCCAGTGTCGTCCATTCCTCAAACTTAATATATCCTGTTTCCTGATTTTCATGACGTACTTTGGGATGGCCCTAGAACGTCGCTCCTCTTTCTCTTTCTCCCTCTCTTCCACTATCGTAGTAGTAGCCACTACTACTCTTCGCTGGCTCGCTTCTCTGTTGCTCTGCTGTCCAGTTCTGGCCACAATTTCTTGGTTCTTGTTTTGCCCGCCCTGCCGCCGCACCCTTTGCCCCCCCCCACCCCTCTGAAGGACGACGCTTATGCTGTGTGCCATTTTCTGCATTTAAGTGCAATTCTATGCAAGAATGTGCCGACATGCATATTTGTGCTAAAGCCATTCCCCAGCCACTATCCTCTCTCCTTCTCTCTCTCTCTCTCTCTCTCTCTCTTTCTTTGCCTTTAAGCCACTCATTCCATATTCCTCTCCCTCTCTCTTAGCCACTCTCTTTCTTCCTCTCTGTTGGCCATAAAATGTTCGTTTTGCTAGCTAATGCATACAAATGCCTGATGCGCTTTTTGCATTACAAAAAGAACAACAAAAATCAGAGAAAGGGAACAGAATCAAAAAAAAAAAATGAACCAAACAACAAGAAGAATCGTAGAGTGTGTTTGTGTGTGTGTGCGTGTGTGTGTGACATGGGAGATTCACTTTCCACTTGGCATTCGACAAAAACCACAAACAAAACAAAAATTAAGTCCTATTAAATATTTTTGGCCAAAAAGGCCTCAACATTATGTGGGGTAGTACTTCGAAATTGAGCGATGATTAGAGCCGCAGAGAACTGAAATGCAAAAAGCTGCAGGATGCATGAAAAGAGATAAAGAAAGATGTCGATGAAGAGGAAACACGAAAAATAATGGAGTCTTTTCCCAAGGAGTCCAAGGAGAGTGAGAGAGTGATGCCAAAGCTAAGAGGGTTGCTAGGTTGCCTTTTCATAGGTTGACTTTTCAGTGCTCGCACCGAGCACCGCTCATGGGCTGTAGGATATATTCGTGCATAGAGAAATGCCTCTAAAAATTAATTAATGAGCTAAAGAGAGTAA